AAAAAAAAAAAAAAAAAAAGAAGAAGAAGAGAAAAAGCAAATCTACGTATCGTTTAAAAATTCGCGAAAACGCGAGGAATTAGGCAGAACAGCCGGCATTAATTCGCAAATGAAACGGCAGTCACAAGCAGAGACACGTCCGCACAGACACGCGTGCACATTAGAATCCTCGCTACGGTACTTTTCATCCATTTTACCCTTGTCGTATTTTCTCGTTTTTTTTCTTTTTTCTTCTTTTTTTTCTTCGTCCCCCCGTAGCAAGGACATCCATTTCCCGTGTCCTCCATCCCGCCCGTCATGACGTCCCGTCGTAAAACACGCCATGTAAAACCGCCTTTGTGTAATGCATTTTAGGTAGAAACGGTAACAAGAAATTACGACAACGACCTATCGACTACGAGGTCGAGGAATGGCGAGATCCAGGTCAGTAAATATCTATTTTAACGCGGACCGCGTATCTCAGGCATTTCCCACGGCGATACAGCCGGCCGGGCTGCCTGTTGTACCGCTTCGTTCGAGTAATTAGCGTAATTAAAACCTCGTCAACGGCGCACATTCGAGGTGGAGAGATTCTCCAGTGAATCCACTAAATTGCCAATGTTCGGTGATCCCCCTTTATCCGTGAACGAATTACTTCACGTTACTTGGTCCCCTTTAACCGGCCGGAATGGATTTCAGAATTACACTTTCGACGACAGTGATTTCACTGATGGATCTTCTGTAGTCTCGCTTATCGATCCTCCTGCCGTTACGACTCCTGATCTGATTTTTTTCGTCTACATTCGTCTTTCTTCATTTTACGTACGTTTCACGATTGCTTGAACAGAATCTCGATTCAGTCATTTTTGGGGGATTTTTTAGTGGAAACGGGACAACAAAATTTTAGGGGATAATCGGGTGAATTTTCATTCATAGGTGAAAATTATACCAGGAAAGAATAGCTGTTGGAGTAAATTAAAAGTTAGAAAATTATTATATCTTAGGAGAAAATTATTTTCTGTGATTTCTTTTTTTTATTAGCAGTATTATTACAGAGAGAAAGAAAGAGAGTAAAGGATTATTTAGGAGATCATGAAAACATGTTGGATCGTAATAATATTTAACGTTCAAAATTTTAAGTTAATCAGAAGATGTATGTTATAGAATTTACAAGATACAATATCGTAAACATATATCTAGGAAAAAATTATTCTGCTTCAATAAGCATTTTAAGAAACATAGTAAGTGTTATAACGGATAATTGACTACGTTAATTATCTTGTAATTTCTATATGTAGTTTGAATTGCATAATAATCGCAACAGTGTTAATGAAATCTCACAGTGTTTCGTATTTTCTTTTCTTTTTATATTATAATTTTCTTTTCATCACAAAGCAGTACAATAATTTTAACGCAACGAGAAAAAGTGAAAATAAAATCAAATCACGCAACGAGTATTCTCGCGATATTTACACGTATGAATATCATAAAATAATGCAACATCTAATTAAAAATTCGAAAGTTTCCGTTTGATAATTCGTCGAGAAGCGCGCGATTTGATTTTACACGAACCGAAATGTTGGCATTAATTTGTCCACTGTTCTAAGCTGCAGGGGACCTGTAATCCGATTGTCAGTCGATTTCATCGGAGTTACTAATTAGTTAATGCCCGTCAAACGTCGTGATTTTCTCATACGTCGTCTGAACTTAAATGTTCGTACATCTATTCACGAGCTTAAATTGAACTGAAAGTCCTTTCCGAGACGTGCTAGCTCGAGAGAAACTCCAGACCCAAAGATACCAACAATAGTTGGCACTACTATGAACTTCTTTTTCAGCGCTCAGTAAGTGCTTTCACTTTAGTTCGAGAGTCTTATATCAAGAATCCCTACTTTGGCACGTCTATCGACTGAATCGAAATCGCAAAAAATGACGGAACTTTTTTTTTTTAGCGAAGTTTCATTTTAATCGCACTGAAGTAGAAATCTTAGCGAATCGTGATCCACATGATGTGATACATTTTTCAAAAGATTTTTTCTTCGATTATTTCAGATATCTGGAAATCTTTTGTTTTAATTAATGTTTGGTAATTTGTAATGTTTCTTTAGTCATTTCCTTCTAATTGAAAGGAATGTTTTTCTTTCAGACGAAATATCTAAATCGAAATTAATAATTTATAACATCAAATTTCAGAAAATTTTACTTTTTATAAGTATTACAAATTCAAGTTATGATCGGTAATAAAATTTGTTATTCCTCTGATTGATTTTTCAAGAGTTTAATGCGTCAGTGCAGAGAAGCTATGTTTCAAAGAATTTTAATCGGTTTGAATCTTGAATATTTATTGAAATTGCGATCTTTATTAAAACAATTTCACAGAGATATTACAATTCACCGATTTAATTTATATCTGAATTGTTGAGGTACGAACAGGGAGAGATACGAAACCGGTGCAAATATGAATTTAATAATTGATCAAGGAATTCCGTTTGATTATTCTGGGACACGAAAAGGATTTCGCTGAAAAATCGGGGCTCGGTAGTTAAGTCGGAAGACGAATTTTCTCAGAGGTTTTATTTCCTTACGGTTACCGGTCTGCGTTCGAGCCGGTGCCGTTTAAAGTATCGCATAGCTTATGAATATTGAACGTCGTAATATCTTATGAATACGCATGAGAAGACCAATCCAGCGAGTTTAACTACCGTTAAATTTCGAATATCGATTAAAAGTCTAAATATTCCGCGAAGAAATAATGCATTAATGTAAAATTACGTGCGTACGGGGAAAGAGGATAATTCCCTCGGACAACTGTGTGACAGAAAATTTATTATATCGTTGACTCTCGAGTTAAATGTAGCTTAAACTGTATAATTAGATTCAAAGGTAGTTAGATGTTAAAACTACGGTACGAAGAAATACTTGAAGCTTGATATCAAATATTCCTCAATTTTGATACTTTATGACGATAGTATTTCAATATTTTTTCAAGTATTTCAAGAATTTCAACAAAAGTGCACAAAGTGACACTGCTTCAATAAAAGGAAAAAAGAAAGAAAAAACGGAAGTGATGAAGTATTAAAATATTTAACTAATCAGAAAACAGTTTCTTCGTCCGCGAATGTTTTGAATACACACGAGTGTTATATTATTCAGCGAAAATATTTTGCTTTCACACTCGTACCGCTATTTATTAAAAAAATTCAGGGAAACAATTAATTCAACATCGCTATTTGAAACAAATATGTGGAACGATATCTCGAGCATTGAAATTGACCCCGTGAGAACGTAAGAACAAAATTTTAATCAATCACGTCGGACAGCGGACAATTTTGTACTCGCGATATTACAATTTTTCAAATTACTCAGGCCGTTATACTTAGATTATAGGTCACGTGTGTAAGTATTGTATTTGAACCTCGGCCACCACCAGAGGATTAACAGCCACGTCCGTATTTCACGTTAATTATGAAGTTTCGCGCTTGGAACTCGCGTATGTGTCTCGATACTTGTAAACAGGGGTTATACGTCAAACAGGGGTGGCGGATAAAACGTCACGCCGAGGGCACTTTCGTTTCGTATGCCAATAAATTGGCAGCAACTGGCACGGTGGCGTGAAAGTTTCCCCAACCTCACAGTTTCAATGACTTTGCTGAAAGATTCCGAGGAGCGTCAGGGACGGCAGACTCCCCTTTCTCAAAGTTTACTTTCAATTAATGAAAAACGAGTTTCGTTGACCCGCGCGGCCCCGTGTCGGCCGGTTTCGCCCCGGCGAAAACGCAGAAACGATCCAAGCTCAACTTCCACCCCTCCCCCTCCACCCATTTCTTTCTCTCGCTCGCTCGCTTCTCGTTTCTCCTCTCCTGCTCTAACTGCAAGTTTGCCTGTTCTCTCTCTCTCTCTCTCTCTCTCTCTCTCTCTTTTCTCGCCTTCATTTGTTAAATCGATTGACAGCCACCGCACGTGCAGGAAGCCGAGAAGGCCAAGCCACGCCACCTCTGGCTGCCGATGAATTGATTCCTACACTCTGTACAAACTTTTATGATCTGTATTCCCGGAGACGTGGATCGTCACGCCAGCCAATTCTGCCCTTCTGCGATTCGAAAGAGGAGCTCGTCCTAATGTCGTGACGTGACGGTGGTGGAAGTTTGAACGAGCGTGTATCGATCGGCCGTGCCTCCTTCTTGATTGCAGCTCCCTTCGATTCGCAAGCCAATTTCACCAAGGGAAACACCAAGAGCGCAATTATTTTACTCGATGAAACTTCTCCGTCCATTTGTGATTCGTTAGTTTTCCGGGCCTTGACTTTGTGGTGCGGATAGTGGGCATTATTTGGTATCGAAATTATTTAAAAGTGTGAAATTGAAGCGGAACAGCGGGCTGGCAACAGGGTGGAAGATTTTTTAAAATTAAAATTAACCTAACGAATTTCTACGTTGACTTGTAGTTCGCTAGTTCTTCAGATGGTAATTTCGCGATCCAAGAAATTTTAAAAGAATCATTTTTCTTTTTAATATGAAAATAATTAAATGTTGTAGATCGAATAACAAAGTTGTAATTACAAAACGTAAATGCGCAGTATTAATGAATTTTATCGCTTCTCTGTCTGACGATGATCATATTGAAAGTTGAATAATATCGAACCAATGGTTGCTCTTTATAGAAAATAATAGGAATAATTTATTTCTGTTCACGTGCTGAACTACAAACATTGTTTGAATTAATGTTGAATGGAATTTGCAATTTTAAATTAATTAATTTTATACAACTTGTTCCTGCGTGGCCTGCGAGGTCAGTAACTATCGATTTTTGTTCGATAGTTAATACCTTGACTCTGAGTGAACTGGCGGGAAATATTTCAACACATTTGCTCTAAATTGCAATTATTCTGCTATTCACTCTATCCCTGGAATCGAAGCTTCATTTTACGAAATGATCCGTACGAAAAATTTCTAATAGAAATTCATAGAGTATATTTGTTATCAAAATTCTAAAATCCAATAAAAATCACGAATATACGAATATATTTCGATTCACTTTTTCTATTCTTCTCTACGAACAAAATTTTGTTATAAATTTCCCGAAATGATTATATACTACACGGCAAAATTATTTAAATTCTAATAAAGACACGTGTTCAGTAAACTTATCATAGCTTAGAAAATTTGCAAAAATTTATTTCCCGTACTTTTTGCTCGACCGAAACCGATAAAACGCGATCGCCAGAAGATAAAACCTTGCCCCAATTCGTCAAACAGTCGACGCAGTTCCCAGCAATTATCACCGTGCTAGCACCATGCCAGCAGCGTCTAAACCTCGTTTAAGTTAATCGGTGGTCGCGTGATGACGGCGATCGGCGTGATACTGTCACGAAATCGGGGCGAGCCGAAAAGAAACCGAGGGGTAACCGGGTGTAGCAGTGGAACCGGTAAAGACGTTGTTAAAGA